TAAAGATTCATTACAACGGACGGTAACCCTCAATACTTAGCTTTTAGGGCTCGACTAATTGTTGTGATTGGTGTTTTGATGGTGTTTAATTGTGTGATTTTGGTTTGAATTGGGGTTTTCGAGGTTTGATTTAGGGTTAGGGTTATTATTTAGGGTTAGGGTTCATTAGGGTTAGGGTTCATTAGGGTTAGGTTATGGTTCTAACGGCTTTTGGTTTCTGGGTTTTGAGTTAGGTTAGGGTTCTTCACGAACCCTTAGGGTTCATACATGAACCCTAGGGTTCGTAGGTTTCTGGGTTAGACTGCTTCGTATTTCTGGGTTCTGCGTGAAGAATGTTTAAATGTTAATGAATTTTTGGGTTTCATATGGATAAACATATGAACCAGACATTGGTTTGGTTTGAATGTGGTGGTGCCTTTGAGAAGTCTCCGACATAAGTGATTTCCGGTCGGTGGCGCCCTAAGCGGAGGCAACTTTTGGTGACATAAATCTAGAGAGAAGCTGGAGCTTCTCTCTCAAACCTCTAACAAACATTTGTTTGATTTTGTGAGAAGAGAGAGAACAAGAGCGAAAAATTGAGCCATGAGCTCAGGAATTCACTTTTATAAGGCTCTCCAACGCTCTTGATGCATGCCGGTGGCTCCTTGAGAGCCCCTAGATGGGGTGACCGTTGATCAATCACCTGCGCCCTTCCCCACCGTGCAACCTAGTCAACTTTGCATCTGAATCCTCCATTTTGATTACTTGCAAATCAATGCTCCAGGACTAGATCATGATGGTTGTTGGATTAGATGAACGCTTTTGATCTATACTAGTCCATCATAAACATGTGTACTCACACATACACTACTCAGACAGACCCAAAGTTTGTCTTGGGCTCTTTTACAAAATCTTGGGCCTTAACCCTTTCTAATCACCCCCATGTTTTACTTCATTAACTATAATTCTTACCCCTTGCTCTACTGAGCCAAGTCCAACATCTGGACTTGGGCCTTTACTTCCCGCGCCTCCAGTTTTTGCTACCGCGTTCAATTTTGCACCCCCTGTGTTTCTTTTAATTAAAATCAATTTATTTTTATAACTTTATTTATTTATTTTCTATTATTTTTCATAATTAATATTTAAATATTTAATATATTTATAATAAATTTTAAATTTGTTTATTTATTAATTCAAATTCTTTTTTTATACTAACTCATTTTCTTTATACTTTAATTGCATTAAAATGATTTTCTTCATGCATTAAAAATATTTATTTCTTTATATTATACAATATATTCGAAAACATATAATCGATAAATTACTAACAATGTTCTACTAACTTAATTCAAACCTAGTTATTTTCAAAAAAAGGATTATGGAAATATTTCCTATCGATCGTGAACTTCGTCTAACAACTCAGCAATTTACAAACCCAGACTTGGTTCAAGGAGAATTTGAGATATTTCTATAATCCATAAAAACACCAACCAAACAACTTCGAACTACGAATTAGGACTCTGATTCCTCATAAGAGGATACATAGGCATACGACTTAAATCGTGGTGAGTTCCCCTAATAAAAATTAAAACCCTATTTCCTGAATTTTGAATCTAAACTCTAGTGTCCTTGTGAACAAGGTAGATGAGAGGTGCCTAACACCTTCCCTTCGTGTAAAAACGAGTCAACAACTTAGAATCTCTGATATATCCTCTACCTAAGGGACAAACATACAAATATAAGATCAGGGGCATATCCCATACCTAAAAGCCTCAAAGCCTCCTCGTCTGAAGAACACTCGAGCAATACTTTTGTATTAATCAATCTGTGAACGAGGAGATACTCCTCTTTATCATAAAAAAGGAAGTTGATGTCCATGTCCACACATCTTGCCGGTGAGAAACTCTTAACATAAGCTACCAGCTTCTCATAGGAAAGTTGATCCTGGGCATCCAAGTCCTCGGGTTTCACTGTGTAATACTTGGGCTTCTGCTCGAAATGTTTCCACTGCCATTCAAGACGAAACCTAACCGTCAGTCGAACTACTGTCCGACCTTCCTCAACCTCTTCTGAGAGATCGTACAAGGAGGCCACAGCCGTATCCATGAGAGGCTTCGCGACAAAGTACCTCTCTTTAAAGTGGAGAACAGATTCGAGATATGGCTGTAGAAGTTTCCCAAACTGTTTAAATGACACCCAGGCTTGTCCCCCTCTGATGGACTGCCTTTGCAAATGAAAGATACGAAAGAAGAGGGGCAATATGGTGCCTATTTGAAGATATTGACATACAAGCTCGAACGCAAGTGCATTTAGATGAAGCTAGGAAGGTGCCAATTGTAACCATTGGAAAAACCCCACTTGGAAGTCATTAAAAGGAAAACACATTCCCGCTTCCTTAAAGGAAAATTCATACATGGGAAAGCATTTTCCCAGGTATGTCGAGCATATCCTCCTGTTTTGGTGAGGGATCAGAAGAGCCCAATTGGCAGGAGCACCCTCTACTCGAACCTCTGGGCAATTGAATGCGTCATAAGCGTCCTGTGAAAAACATGACCTTTTGTTTCTAGGCTCAGGTGCTACCCATGCCAAATGGTCCTCTGTGACAGTAGTTTCGTTCTCGTGAGTGTCGGGCACCGTGGCTTCCTAGACTGGATCTGCCATCATACTTGAAAAGAAGGGGAAAATAGTGAGTTCGAAATTATCAAATTCACCCTTCCACCGTAAATCAAGTGAAAGGGCGATGAATGTGTCGAGGAATGGACCTCGACCCAAGCCTTCGACTGCTCTACAGGGACATTTGGTCGGACGTGCCAAGTTTCCCAAGTCCTTCCCACTATTCGAGGAGGATGACCCTGACACTAATCTATGAAGTTAGGCCTATGAACCTTCATGCACAACTATGAACTTTGATGAACATCCATGAAGATTCACTGCAGAACCCATGAATATTCATCTAGGAATTCATCCATTAATGACAAAAACTAAGTATTTAATCTAAAAATTCTGACAAAAAGCGTTATGAAGAAGATATGACTTACTTGGAAGAAGATTATCTATGAAGAATTCTATGGTGGCACTAGAACGGAGCAGATCCACGAGCGAAAGAAGAGGAGTGGAGAAGAGAGCTTGAGAATGACACATGAGCCTCTGGATTCACCTTTTTATAGATGGTTCACACTCCACGAGCCAGCACACGAAAAGTCATCATTACTTAGGGCTTTTGAACTTCTCTATGAAAAGATGGCACCCTAAAACAACTGCCATATGGGGTTGACAAGGAGCCACATGCCCACTCTTGAAGACGAACTTATCCCCGACTCCATTACAAAACATTGTATACAGGCATATTAGTGACGTTTCATGCTCAGTGGCGGGAAAACGCGCGACCTCATGATAAAGCCTTATATACGGGCACATTTATGCTATTTTATTCCCAAAGGCGAGGTAAACGCTCGACATCGAAGCAACGCCTCATAAGCGCGCACGTCAAAAAAGAATCTCGGGAAAACTCCTCGCATCCTATGGATATATATATTCCTAACGGGCACCAAACCAACAATATCAGAACTAAAGTCGACCAATGGACTACCCACTGATCTGGTCGACCATGCTGCACGCATATTTTCTGAATCCTCGACACAACTCAACGAGTTATCCCCGACAGAGTTGGGCAATTTCCCTTTTCGGGCGATGTTTCCCCGATAATGGAGCTGAACTTAAGTCACCACCCTTTCACCTAAGGGTAATAACTTGGGAGCTCCTATTCTGGACTAGGCCGACACTTGTCTCACTGTTGGAGAGGCTCAATCCAACGCCCTTACCAAAGGCCCAAAAGCATGCAACCCAATCTAAGGACCGTTGGGCATTTTCCCACGTGTACGCTAGGAGAACGTAGCTCACGTGTCCATATCATCATCATCCTGCCCTTAGAGAATAACGAGTCCAACTCCTGCTTTCTCGAGGCAGTTGACCAGGGAGGAGGCCACATGCTGGACTCCATACACACGTAAACCCTGGTAGTCTTCGTTGTTGGACTTCATCGTGGCCCATCATTGAAGACCTTGACCCAGCGTTGGGGACTATAAATATCTTCTCACTTGAGAGAGTCAAATATTCATTTTCACTCACTCATTCTTATACTTGTTTGCATTTGCTCTGAACCTTACTTTGACATCAGAGAGTCTTCCAGGTACCCTCCACTTCACATTCAATTATTGTTCGACTTGAAGCTTGTGGACTTTGACAATCCCTTCTGATCAGATACGATCAATTATCATGTTAGCTCAGCCAAAAACTATGGTACAGAGGCCATGTTAGGGGTATACAGTAGCAAATGCCAGACCTAAGCATTGATCCATCTCAATCTCAAAATTTTCACTTCTTTTTATTATTTAGGTTTTATTATCGTCTATTTAATAAAAATATAAAAATATAAAAAATATAAAAAAACAATTAAGTAAAATGGTGGCGTTTAGAAAAGGAGTCAGGGCTTAGAAGATTGTGACCATTCATCTTCCACGAACAAAAAAACTCTTCTCCCTCTCTTCTCTTTCACTCAGCGGCGGCCATTTCCCTCCTTCTTCGATCAATACTCGTCGCCGCAACTACCAATGGTTACAACCACAAACCGTAACGCTGCAACCTCACCTCTTCAAGCATTCACTTCGTATCAACATTAGATCCATATAATAGTTTCAATCGAAGCTCCGGTTGGAATCGTAACTTAGGTATTTCACGATTCATCGGCGACAACGAGAGTTTGAGGAAGAAACAAATACGACACAAATGATAACTAACAAGAACTAGTAAAAGAGAGTATCAATCAAGAGGTTCTGAGAGTTTACCGATCGGAGTCCTTCCGACGCGACATCAACAACGGTGATGACGAGAGAAATATCAGGTATAAACATTCTTGTCTCAATTCAATTTCTCTGATCAAATCTTCTTCTACTCAATTCTTCTTCTACTCAATTCTTATCCTGTTTTCGTTTCCGCAGTTCAAATTGTTTCTTTGCATGGCGTTATTGCTCTGTGCAAGATATTGTTGCTGAAGTTGTTGTTGCATTATTGATGCGTAGTAGAGATGGTGAAGATTGAAGCGATGTAGTTATTGCAGATGCGGGTTCGATGAAGGCATGACGATGATGAAGGATGAAGCAGAACGGTGAAGGTTGATGATGTTGAAGAACCGATGAAGATGATGAAGGAAAGTGCAGAAGGTGCAGAGAATTGATGCTAATGGAGGTTGAAAGATATGAACGAAGGTTCAGAGAGGGAGAAGAGTGAAGAGAAATGCTTGAGTGTTTTTCCGTTATTTGGTGAGAATGATGGTGATAGATGAATTGGGGAAGATGAAGATTGAAGAGGAGTGAGGGAGAATGAAGCAGGGTGAGACTGAAAAAAGAAAACTGATGCATGAAGTGCAATCTGAGGAAAGAGGAGGGAATATATAGATGGAGAAGTTTGAGGAGTTAGTTATGGAGGATGAATCTTGAGCCCTTGGATCATATGAAGTTAGTTGCAAAATGGAGGGTGAGATTGAGTTCAGGTTAGTTATCTGAGTTTTGTTCTGTTTTTGAGTTAGTTATGAGATGTTGTAATTATGTTAGATGCTAGCTGGAACTATTAGTTAGTTATAGTTATTGTTAGTTGATTTAAAATTGTTTTGTTAGTTGGTTAAAAACAGAAATTGGTTCAAAAAGTTAGTTAGGTTGCTCTGTTAAGTTTAGTAACAAGAATATGTTAAATATTAGTTGGGATGATACTTAACTTTGTTAGTAAAAAAAAGAATCTTAGTAATCCTGTTAAGCTGTTAGTTTAAACCTGTTAGGAGAGTTTGGACAGTAAACATTGTTAGTAATTTGTTTTTGAAGTCAGTTAGTGTTAGGAAGAAGTACCATTATGTTATTTTTTGTTAGTAGATGCCACTGTAATGAACTGGAACGTTACTAATCTCCTCGGGCCGAGCCTTTGTGCATGCCTTTCATGATGTAACTTGATTGTGTGACTTGAAACACATGTATTATGGATGAGTTGAACTGTCTTTTTGAATTTATGCAGGGCTGTAGTTGGTTTTGTGTTGAACTGTATGGATGTTATGGTAGGGTTATGTTAATTGTTTGATTTTCCTAGACATTGGTTTTGTGGCATGGCTGCACTTTGTATTATGCACGTATGGTATGGTTAGATCTTTGTTGATAGGATTTTGGCTTCAAATGAATGTGTATGTACATGGGTTCAGGGCTGTTGATTCATGGGACTGTTTTGACATGGTTTTAGTTGTGTGAACAAGTTTTGCGTATAAGGCAAGGCAAGGTTTACAAGGGGTTGGTGTATTGGTGCAAGGCTAGTTCATGATGTCTTTTTGATGAAGTTTGAAAGTCATGAAGCATGTTTGAAGGTCTCTTTGAGAAGCATGGAGAATTAATATGAGGCAAGACTTTATGTTTAGGTTTAGTATTTTTGTAGAAGACTTTGTGTAATATGATATGGTTTTGTATTTATGAATTTGTACATGGCCTTGAAAGTTTAATGACTCCTTGGTATTCAATTGATGAAGTTTCACATTCGAAATTGCATCTTCTCTTTTGGTTTTTTACATTGTAAGATAATGTATTTGATATTTGTAATTTTTACTTTTTCTTTGCTCCAAGTCCATAAAAGTAATGAGCTTTGGATCATGAGCTCGTCTTCAAATAGCCCCCGCCATGTTTCTTTGGATTTTGTAACCTTTTGTAATGATGATGAAGGTGTGAAGGTTTGTACATGACTGATATAGAAACTTCAATGGTTAATCCTAGGCAAATTCTCTTTTGAATGGCATACTTTCCTTCAATTCTACCTTGAATATATATCTTGTAGTGCCTTTGATTCGTAAGAGAACATACTTTATGACAGAATTATTAATCCCGGATAGTGAAGCGGAGCGGCCGACCCCTGAGAATCGGAATAGTGAGAATAGCGGGATCCCGGATAGCGGGATAATTTTTTATATACTAATAATTATATAATAATCTACTAAATTAATTTCACAACACTCATAAAATATTTATAAAATCTAATGTCAAACAAAGAAAAATGATTATTATTAATGTTGCCTTTAAGTTGCCTTTAAGTTTTATTATTAATAATATTATTTTTATTAATAAAACATTTACTAAAACTCAACTAGTCTTTAAGTTTTCAGGTACGAGTAATTTTTTAGAGGCAAATCCAATTTGACAATTATTTTTATTACTTATAGCTGTAGGTCATTAATTTTACAGCTGTATGATAAGTAAAGTTTTTATATTAAATTACTTTCCAGCTGTTGTTGATAAGATTGAACAAGTTGCTTTTTCACTTTTGAACTCTTTTATCGATAAAACAAATCTCTTTCATCTTCTCTCCATCTTCCCCGTTCTTCTACATCTTCTCTTTCATCTTTTCTTTCGTAAATTCAGAAGAAAAAAATGAAAATCAGTCAAAACCGCTCCGCCCGGGAAGAACCCGTGACCCGCGACCTGGTTTCGCGGGCATAGCGCCCGCTAAATAATCTCTGTGACGCACCCAATGAATCGCGCGGGTGGGTGCCGCACCGCTCCGGTGTGGCGCGATAGCAGCCGCGATTCACAACTATGCTTTATGAACCCTTGAATTCAAAAGATACATCCTTCACAATATTCAAAATCATCTTCCACTTAATGACTTAGTCTCCCATGAAAATAACGTTGACTTTTATGCCTTGAAATACATGATGTATTGTTGCAGTGTTATAGCGGCAAACAACAAAAATTTTGGAAATATTTATCCGGGAATTTATCGTGTTTACAGAGATTGGTTATTTATTCGCCATTCGACATATTATTGTTAACGAGATTGTGGTTGAATGAGTTTTGTAAAGAAAATGTTATTAACAGACAATGAATGTTAGCAAAAGGAAAAACTAAGGAAGAACTTATCAGGTATGCATATATACTACTTCTCACTGACTTAAACATATCGACCTGTTACACTCAACCTAACATTACTCATCAATGTCACTACGTATCACTCACAACCTAAGTCATTTCTAACCCAAATTGAGAGGCCTATTGCATCACCTCGGTAGCGATCTCTCAACCACCTCGACAACACAAAAGTCAACCGTACTCGCCTGTATCGAATATCTCTCAAAATGACACAAACAACACATAGGCTTTAAGATCTGATACCCAAGTAGATTGTCAGCTCTAAATCTTTTTCTAGAGTTCAGAAACTAACAGATTAATCATCCTAGATAAGAACCTAAGCAGTATATGTCTATAACAACTCAAATCCCTAGCACAAAGCAAAAATCTAAGAGAACAATCTACAAAGATTCATAAAGCAAGTTTTATATAACGGCAAGGGCGACAAATATACATTAGATAAAAGAAAATATACATACAAACCCAACCATATAAGATTACACAAAGAAAAAGAGAAATAAACCGCAGATCTACCGGTTTGTCAATGCCGATCTAAGAGCAATCCATCCCGAATGATCCGTATGCAAGCTCCATAGTTGTTATCTAAGTTAATCCTAACAAAATTTACAAGTTAGTGGAGTTGGGAGCAAAAACTTCCTCAAAACTATAACCTAAAAATGACTAAAAATGAAGTTATAAAACAAATCTCAGCAGACCGCGCTAAGCGGCCTCAACGTGTTAAGCGGGCTGCACGATATTTACATATTAAACCGACATAAACTGCGCTAAGCGCTTTATCCGCGCTAAGCGGGCTTTAAAACTTTGGTTCTGCCAAAACAGTAGAGCGCAAGCAGCGCACTACAAAATGCGTTGAGCGCCACCCGCGCTTAGCGGCCTCCTGCGTGCTAAGCGGGCTCTCTTGGACAGCAAGTCCCAAAACTGATCTTTTATTCAGAAAATGCGTATCCCGAGCCGTGCCTTCGACAACTTATTCCTCAATGCTCCAAAATGCAACAAATACCTATAATTTAAATGGAAAAACATCAAACGGTATACTATACACAAAAAACACAAATAAACATAAACTAAATGTATTTATACAAAAGTCGGGATTATTCAACAATATTACAAACAAAAAGTCAATAAGTGAAACAAAAAGTATATACACAAATAGTTACAATTTGCACTTATCAAACTCTCACCAACTTAAACTTTGTTTGTCCTCAAACAAGGTCAAACAACTCAAAGAACTAAAACTAATAAACCAAAGAATCATGCATCAACAAGTTTTGAAAACAAAAACAAATGTTATGGCTCAAATGAAAAACGGTACACACGAAGAAATATACTTACCACTAAACTACAACGATAACATAAACATGAAACGCATGATAAATACAAAGGATATGTCAAACATTCTAAAACAATACTAGTTCACAAATGAATCACATCTAGCAAACATAATCATCAGTAGATGAAAAACTCACAAAATGGGGTATTTTCATTCATCCACAATCCTGCAAACAAAAGACTAAATTATGCATTCATAAAAAAGTTTACATTGAAAATATAAAAGCAAGAATCTCAAGGGCTTTTCAAGGTTGTAATATGGCTTGGTTAACAGACAAGGGATAATTCTTAAAGCTAATCGGAAATTTTTTTTTGCCAAAACCTAAAGGAGTGATCAATTCACCAAAGATTCAAACACAAAATTCCAATTAAACTTCTTATGAATCCCAAATTTCACACCAAAACACATCACTTATTAACACAACATTATTCTAACTCTTTTTGTTTTTCGTTTTCAAAGCTTTTTCTCTTTTTTTTTCCTCTATTTCTTTTTACTTCTTTTTCACATTTTTTTTTCTTTTCAACCTCACAACAATCAACTAATAAATACACAATCATTTTTCTCTCCAACTTGAATTCAACCATATCATAATGTGAATACTCCCTACTTTCTAAGGCAACGTAAAAATTCAACTAAAATTTATAGTTGAGGGTTCAAGAAAACAAAAGAATCAATATCCATACAAAAAGATGAACTAAACACTCATAGACAAGCATTTAGCAAAAACAACATGGATATCGACAAAAATGGTCAAAAGGGGATACTAATGATCACACTCACAAGATGAATTAACTATTTGGCCAGTGTAGTTGTATTCAAAATGGAACAAAAATGCCTTGATCATGTTCAAGCTTTCATACAATCAACACAAACAAAAGATTAAGCATAGTAAAATCTAGTTAAAACAAGAGTTTTGGTCTCCAACATATGTGAACAATGGAAAGCTACCTCACAAAAGGGTAGAAATTAAAGGGATTCACAAATGAACAAGTATACAAAGGAATGAATGACATAAAATTGTAAAAAGTCTAAGTATCATGAATATTCTAAGTATAGAAAGCAATAAACAAATACCTTGAACGTGTACAAAACTTTAACAAAATCATTACCACACATTTGCAAACTGAAACACTCAAAC